GGTTATGATATTTATTTCAGATTTAATTACAACCGAAATTCAAGGAAACAAGTGTCATTTTTTTTCCTAAAACAAATAACATTGTTTAAAGGATAAATTAAAGGGGAACATATTTCTTATTTAATTACAAACGTACTTTATAAACTCTCTAGGCACCTCCAGAAAAACGTGTTCGATTACAATTTGTTGGATCCTTTGGATTTCCATGTTGGAGGATCTGTTGGGATTTTGTGGAGGTTCGCTTCAGGAGTCTTTCTAACACAGGCAGGTATGAGAATGTGAATGTGATACTGGAAAAATATACATATTTTCATGTTGTAAATTTTGAATTTACTGTGTTGCAGGAAAAACAAAGTTGTAAATTTGTATTTACTGCCACCCAGTAGTTAATTCAAAATTAAATTGTGTATTTACTGCCTGCCGGGAAAATCAAAAATTTCATGACAATATTTTATTTAAAATTTCGCAGATGAATTAATACATTGAACATGTGTTTATTTGCAGGTACTGCTGTGGCACAAGACCCACACGAGTCTTCACGTCCGATAGCCGAGTAATGATGGTCTTATTTAGGAGATTTTCCAAATTAGTTGCGAGGGGATTCAGGGCCATATACAAATACGTCTAAATCAAAAGGTAAATGCAAATGGGTATCGTCAATATGAATATTTTCTGGTGAATAACAAACCATATTCAACTCCAAAACAGTCCATAATTGTGTAATATATCTCTTTTCATTTACCTATCTGTTGTTTTTTTTTCAAATTTGAAAAATATAATACAAAGAACTGATTCTTGAAGTCACTTGCAATTGTGTCTCTTGAAATAATTTACGCTTGTTTAGCCCCCCCTCCAAAAAAACCTCCAAAATCTCCACCACTCGTTATTTGCAGAGCGGTATTGTTGCGCTATGAATTACTTAAACTGCAAAGCTGAATCTGCATGTTCTAATTTTATACACATAATAAGCTTTCAAAATATGAACACCTTTTAACGCGTACTTCATGTAATGCTTTGCATGAAACAAAAAAAAATTTGAAATTATTCTATATTAATAATGGCATTTTTTTTCAGATGCAGCATCCAAAGCAACAGTTCCTTTCAGACAGTCTTTCTCTCAATCTAATTATTCTCCTTTAGTTTTTTTTTTCTTAGTAACCAACCATGGATGAAAATTTACTTTAAAAATAAAAGACGTGTACATATTCACCTCTCATATCGTATGTTTTTAATGGTATTTATTGATATACTTTTTATTGGGAAACAGAAAAAATTATGATGAAAATAAAATACTTTTACATCTACTTGCAAATGATAATAATTATCATCGTGAATTATTTCCTGCTTTACTTTCGTTACGCACGTTCTCACTCTTATAACCCATCCCCCCCCCCCCCCACACACACACATACATACAAAAGTGTTACTATTTCCTCTTCAAGTTTGTTTCGAGGTCACAAAACTTCGTTTTTCAAGGGAAACACTAGCTGCAATAATGTAGCCCTCTCCTTTTTTTTGGGGGGGGGGGGGGGGGGGGCTCCAGAAAATATCAGATTAAAACAATCGGAGAGGGCTACATTATTGAAGCTAGGGAAACACAATTTTAACTTTTATATATATTCCTTTGATCATCCTTTTATAATTGTTAGGTAAATACATAAAGTTGTCGATAGGCTTTGGATCTTTGGATATATTATTATTAAGCATTTTTAATTTGGATAGGTTGCATATGTCATGCAATGTGTACAAACCACACAATTAGCTATAAAGTTTGTTTAATCAATCAGTGTTAATTCGCTTGAACAGCTGCTAGTGAACATTATGGCATATTATGCATGGATGATTTCTAGGTTATAACTATTACAAGTTCCATACTTTGCAGCAATTATTTTCATCCTACAACTATATTAAATCAGTCTTCCTGCAGAAAAAAAACCCGTAATTATGGGGGACTTTACAATGCATATAGGAAACGTGATTCACGCTGTATGTGTATTTTGCTAACTATTATAAAAGTGATGTTGATAAATAAATAAATGTTAATATGATTGAAAAGTAACGAAAACTAGAGGTAAGTGTGAGTATTGGGTAGGAGTGAAACGGTTCACCGCGGTATTTTTTCTCGGTTCGATACACGGTACAAAATCTCTACTTTCGGTTCGGTTCGTTTTTCGGTCGGGATCGTCATTCAGTCGAGTTTGGCATAAGGTATAAACGTGCTTCTCTGTATAATTAGTTTAAAAACGTAAATTTTTGTGGACTAAAAGTTTGTAAAATATTTTTAAACTTTCAGATCAATTAAATTGATTTATTCTATCCACTTTGCACATAAATTATTTGACTAGATTAAGTAAAAGTAAGCATGAGCAACAGTTGGATTTGTTTCCTTCTATCAAACAGTCAAAATGTATCGTATCGAAAATAACCGAACCGAGACCACATTTTTCGATACGTATCGAACCGTGAAGGAGGCATATCGTTTCACCCCTAGTATTGGGCTTACTAAATGATACCCCGCCTCCCATATGAATATAATGCTAGTGTCCATGCTTGCTGTGGGAAACCCAAAATATGTGCAGATCAAAAAGTAAAACAGGAGGTGCACAAATGGCAATATGTAATAAAGATTCTGTGAAAGTTTCATTGAATTTCATTCAATGGTTTGGGAGGAGTTGCGGATAAGAGATGGATACCCCAAAGCGCAACAGATGGACGGAAGGAAGCTAGACCGATTACTATATACCGATTACTACATACATGCATCCTCCCGCTTTTCAAGCGGGGGTAACGGGTATGATAGCATTATCATGCTTTTGCACTCAACACATGGCGTAGCTATATGTACGTATAGGCACAAATTAAAAAAATGACAGGGGGTGGAGAAACACCTTGTGACCCCAGTGGATTCCCGTGGATTCTAACGACTCTAGGAAGTTCTAACAACTCTCAAGATAAAAAAACCACTTTAATTTGTATTTATGTGGGGTTTCCTTAAACACTCCTAAAACCAGACAAGATATTAAAGAAAACATTAGTCACGATTGAAACACTGTTGATTTTATCATTAGAATAAGATATATATACAAGATGGCATACCAATAAAAGTGAAGAGGTTATTAAGTTTTCATTATGAATATATGTCAACGGTCTCAGTGGGGGTTAAATCAAATTATTTAAACTTTAAATTAGGAGCGATTGTCTGTTGTTTTGAATCATCCTTTATCTACATGTGATAGTGAAACGAAGATTTTCCTTTCTGTTTTTGTTTATTTATTCATTTTTGCAAAGTTATGAGTTGACATATGTGCAGAAAAAAAACTGCATGGGACATGATTGTGTTCTTGACTCAGTTTTATTGGATTTTTTTTATATCCGGGAAGGGGTATGAATTTTTCACAGCGTTTCGATTTATTTGAGCAACCCATAGGCATTCCCCATGTAAATCTGTGAATGACGAAATATAAGTATATATAGGTCTACCCCCTCTATACTATAAAATACTCTAGTTTATACTATAGAGGGGTTAGACCTATATAATTTTATACTTATATTTCGTCATTTACAGATTTACATGGGGAGCGCCTATGCGAGTGAAATCAAGATTTCATTCACCAATGCAATTTTCATTAGTAAAAATATGTACACAATCTTGATTTATTTATTGAAAAAACAAGGAGATAAAAATTCATTTTGTTATGACATGTTTGTAGTACAGATAATTAATTAATTATAATCAAGCTGAAATTGTTTGCATCGCAATGGCTTCCTTATTGCAGGCGATGGTAATTTAGCGGTAAACATCAGAAGACCGAAAGTGAATTTGATGGTGGCCACGCGTGTCAAACAAGGTGAAAGGAAATACACAGGAACTGGGTGCGTATCATTACCGCTACATTTTCAAAATTTTCATTACCGCTACATAGTCATTACCGCTACAAAAAACCTTACATTACCGCTACATAAAAAGTATACATTACCGCTACATTGTGTACAGTACAACCTATAAATGCACAGTAGGACCCGTTTCCCCTGCTCATCACGGGGAGGTGAAAGTAGGACTTTGTGCAGGATGTTTTTTTTTTTTTTTTTTTTAATTTTTATTAAATCAATTTTATTTCATAACACACAACAAAAAATTGAAATTAAGCTCTGCTCATATATAAAATTTAAAGTTTTTTTCAAATGTTTTTTTTTACACTATCGCTAGAGCCTTGAAAGCCATTTGTTGAAATATTATTGTTTTCTAAATTTATAACCATCGATAAGTAAGCCGGTGTAATTAAATTTCGACTGCAGAGTTATTTATATAAGTATACTCATTCTGATTACATGTAGATTGTGAGTGAATTCTGTTGATTAGAACTCATATATACCGAACCATACCTGGCTAAATCGATATGTAGCGGTAATGAGTAGCTAAATGTCAATCAATTTCAAGTACCCAATGATGGACCTTAATTCATTTGATTGACAGGGGGATACAGACCAGGTAAATCTGAGGGAGGTGCTTATTATCTCGGGCTTTAAGGACCAAAATTATCTATATTACTTTTATATTAATCTTATCTGACAATTAATACTGCAACCAAAAGTAGGGAGAGGAGCAAACGGGCTTTCTATGAACATTTTCTTTAGTAATATAAGAATTTCTTATGTCTGGAAAATTTAAGTGGATAGGGAAACTGTGTCCTTGACCCGCATTTTACCTTTCTGATATTGATATTCGTTAAATGCAACTCTCGAGGAAAGCATTTTAGAAAAAAAAAACAAGCAAAGACATCTACAAGAATATATTAAATAAATTTATTTTTTTAAAAAACGTTCATGTCTTTCTCTTCTTTAATAAAAAAACGTTAAACTTCACATCTTACACTTTTCAAAATGATGGTAATAGCAAGAGGATTGTCCAATTCATATATATATCTTTTGAATCAAAGGTTTTCGTCAAATATCTTAAACTAGGCATCAACCAAATTCAACTTTCAGATAATTTATCGACGGACGAAAAATCGGCGCAGTCTGTTTAGCAATCCCAACTTCTTTTCTTTCGCCGGTTGAAAAAAAGAATGCCCAGGTATACATGTGTATATATAAATTAAAACTATATACAAACGTATAATTGCAGTACCTGTTTTACACAGGGGCCGGTAACATACTGTATTTATTTTAAGTAATCACTATACATATATTATAAGTGATTACGTAAAATCAAATACAGTATGTTACCGGCCCCTGTGCTGTTTTACTCCAGAACAAGAAACAGGAAAATGATAGGAAGAGGACGGTTTACCTGTTTTTTCTCTGGTTTGCCACAACACAGTAATCTTCTCCAGCCTTTTGGCTCGGGATCGTCCTCCTATAAGTACAAAAAAAAATACATAACTTCTTTCACTCTCTACCGTCGGCTCATACAATACAACTGTCGTTGGCTCACATATGTCACAGTGATAAACTCGAGAAATAGTGCGTTTGTTTTAATTCATTATAATTACATTTCTATGGTTATGTACGTCTGTGTTTTGAGATAGATATTTACTAAATAAATCCAAAACTATTATTTTAATTTTAAAAAATCCTGCAAATATCACGTTTTATACGTTATGTCAAAAATCTTGACGTGAGCCCTTTGCCGAGGTACGAACGACAACTCTGAATGGGAGATTGAACTTCTTTGTTGCAGTTTCATTATTGTTTTCTTTAATTTCACTTGTCCATTACAAAAGAATAAAAACAACCCCATAAATTATACATTCAAAATAGCTATATAATGTAATTCAAATAGTTAAACACGTACTATTTCAACGCTTGCATCTGGTGCAGATGATGTCGTTAAGCTGTCGTTGTATTGTACCGGGGCTGGTTTATGTAGATCAACTACAGCAGGGGCCCGTTTCACTAAAAGGCGTACGCCTGTCTTAACTCTACGCCCGGCGTAAGTCCGGACTTACGTCTAACATTTGGACTAAGGTCCGTTTCACTAAAGGGCGTAACTTTGCGCCCGCCTTAAGTTAAGACAAAAATCTACGGCTGGTCTAAGGCAGGCGTAACTATAGACGTAAACATTGGATAATGGCGACTTTCTGGCTGCTTCACAGAAGAAGAAGGGAAACACCTCGGCGAGAACGCGTTTTTCGGGACCGAACCAACCCTCTCGAGTATCTTGATGATATAGATCTCGTAAGTAGGTATAGGTTCCCGGGAAGAGTCATTCGAAAACTGATAAATGATGTTGACCCTATTGTGAGGCGACCTACATACAAAAGTCATGCCATTCCCACCCACATTCAGGTACATGTATATGTGAATGCTTACTGTAGCATTGTATGCTTCTTAAATATCCACACATAAATAAACAAATACTGACGCATGGAATCACATGATATGACAAATATAATGGGTTTTACAATGTACCTATTAATATAATTAAACTACATTTGCATACTTATTTATACATATAATATAAAGATACACATAAACATCTTAAAGGTAATTATCACCTTAAGATATCTGTCAAAGGCGGACTTCTTTTCGGAAGTAGGCGACCTTCATGGCGTTTCCAGATCATCCGTATCCCGAGTAGTACATACAGGTTGTTATACTTCATTATTTTAACTTTAAAATGATGTTAACTCTCTCTATTTTTATTAAAAATTATTGCAGGCACGTAGCATCGTTGATGTGGAGATTTGACCCCTTGAATGTTTTAACATTTTGTCCCCTGCATTCACAAATGATAATAAAAGAAAAAGTGAGCAAGTTAACACATCCCACGCTCCTCCCCTCTTAATATTTGACAATATCATGCAAAATAAATGGCATGTTACACATTAAATACACACAAGTAATTCAAAATGAGGCATAATTCCAAAATAATCGTTACATGTATTAAAACTCCGTGCAGTTATTGAGTCTTTATTTTGTACAGATAAAATGAATATAATAAAAAGTACCGAAATTCCCAGAAAAAAAAGGAAGCGGAATTTCTTTGTAATATGCGCCTACACAATGTGTTCTCAATAACTGCAAAGTTTCACGAAATTAGGTTTAGCAGTTTCAGAAAAGTGACAATTGCAAGTACTATGGGGTATACTGATAATAATAATTATAATAATATGTACATGTTTGTATACACTATCCTTCATGTTTCTACATGCCTGTAATACATTTAATCAGTTGTACATTTCCTTTTCAAATATTCTTTATATATGTCATTAAGGATTTTAACGCAGATTCATCATATTGTTATACAGTGTGCAGTGCAATAAATACAACAGTGGACAACATTAAGTTTCCAGTTACTGCCAATGAATTACGCCATGTAAAATCTGAGTTCTATGACATTGCCAAATTTCCAAATTGCGTTGGTGCAATCGATGGTACTCTAATACCAATTAAGGGCATGAGTGGACCACAGGAGCCTGCTTTTGTATGCAGAAAAAACTTTCATGCCTTAAATATTCAGGCCGTAACAGATTCCAATATGAGGTATAAACGGTATTGATTAAAACATAAATACTAGCTCATCATTTTTTTGTAATAGAAATACCCTTGTATACGCCAAAACTTCAACAGGAGAAAATTAAAATATTTAATATATCGTCAAAAGGGTTTTATGAAATAACAACCTTTGAAAATGTAAATGTTGTCAATATAAGACTGCTAATTGTTTGCTTACATATGCTCAAAGGATGAAAAATTGGTTGATATTATTTCAGATTTCTTCAAATCAATACCTGTTTTCCCGGGGCAACTCACGACTCTTTCGTTTTGAGCAACTCGGGATTGTCAGGTGTTATGGAACATCTCGAAGGGGGTGGGTGGTTACTTGGGGATTCTGGCTACCCTCTCACAGAATGGCTCTTAACGCCATTCTTAACCCCAGCCAATCAACACGAAGTGAATTACAACGATGCCCATGGAAAAACTCGTGTTGTCATAGAAAAATCGTTTGGGGTATTAAAATCCAGATTTAGGTAATTTAAACGCAATTTTTCGTTAAATATCTTTATATGTCATATTTGCAAGTAAATATTTTATTTCAAACGTTCATTACGATAAACGCGACCTTAATTTTTTTTTTATTTGAGAAAAAAAATGTATATCTATTGCAACCATAAATAAACCTTGTTACAATTTTATTGTGAATTCATTTAAAATTCTGTGGGCCAATTTTCTTAGATTGTGGGTTTTTTGATTATTTGTGGAGATGTAATTTCGTGTATGGGTCGGTTTTCAGATTCAGTAACAAAGATATCTCTTTCTAAATTTCCTATGAAGATGTAAATTCGTGGTGGTTTGGGGGGGGGGGGTCTACCAACGAATATCACGAAAATTGAGCCACCACGAATTCTAATGATTCCACAGTATTTACATTCAAGTAAATCTTTGCAGGTGTTTACATCGAACTGGAGGAGTACTCCCCTTTTCACCAAGTAGATGTTCTCAAATTATTCAATGCTGTATCCGGCTTCATAATTTAGCTGTTTCAGAGAAAGTCCCCTTACTTGAGGGTGGGGTTGTACAGAACATCAATGACAATGCCGTGTTTAACGCAAACGCACCAAGGAGAGCACAGGATGTGCGCATTCAAGTTGCAAATTTATTTTAACAATTCATCTATTCATTAAATCACACACTTACATTGTAATAAAGAACATGACTACTTTATCATTTTGTGTTCAAATTTATTAAATGCCAAATTTGTTTTCAAATGCCGCCGCTATTCTCTCTAGGGCATCTGCTTTTCTCTCCTCTGCGATGGCTCTTCTCTCCTTCACTCCTATCAAATTCAGCATAAACTCAGCGTCGGGGTCGCTGGCCGTGTCTTGATTTTTAATAAAAAGTTTTATAATCAGAACAATGTCAATTGAAACAGAAGAAAATCAAATAAAATCATATGTGTAATATGAATAGTTAAAAGTGCATGAATGAAGTTAAAACAGTTCACTAGGGTTTTTTTCTTAACGTAAAATTACGCGAAAATTAAAACTGAAGGAATGTTTAATACATTTTAAATTCATTTTCATAGCGTTGGCATTCTTTCTTTTTTACCTTTACGTTTAGATCCATACAGAGTTGAAGCAAAGAATGTGTCGGTGGAAGGCCCGGACACATGTACACTTGGAGCTTCTTCCGGAACGTCAACTTCTTCTACTATATACATGTACAAACATACATTTTTTAATTTGAAAAAAAAAATCAATATTTCAAATCTACACACTTATGTGTTCCGCGTGTGAAGAACATGCATATCAAATTTTTGACAATCTATTATAATAATTTTTATTATTTAAAATTTTATAAGTATATTATATAATACCCCGGTATGTATAATTATACAAACCAATCAAGGATGGAATTCCAGCGGAAATTTCCGATGGGACTGCAGTGCATGATGAGGCTAAGTTATCTGTTACAAAGAAATACTAGTATTTAGATATCATATATTTCAATTTTTTTTTATACTATAACTACTGTATACTACAATAATACTAAATATACAAAGCATGGAAAATCAAATAGTATATGAAGCAAAAGTCGGGAAGGCAACATTATGAGGTTATAAAAATACATGTAGTGAACGTATGTTTACAATGTACATGCATGTACCATGTATTTATACATACTTGTTTCAGAATTAATGGCAAAGGCAGTATCAACCCCTCCGTCAATCCCAGAGATAAGTTCATCCGGTATAATTGACAAAATCTAGCAATAAAAACAAAAAAATAGTTGTTGCCTTTTTCAATTTATTAAAATAATAAACGGTGCGAAACATTAATGAAAAAATAATTATGTCAGTATCGGAAACTCATCTTAGCAACGATCGAAACGTTTTTTTTTTTTAATACATAGTACATATAATTATATCAATTTAGGTAAATATTAGAAAACACATACGTCAAGTTCCCATGCCTTGAATACAGATTCCGGGGGAGGCCCTCCGCCCGTTCTCTTCGTCTGGTATTTTCTACTGGCTTCTTTCTTCTTTACAATGGATCTTGCATCTTTCCATTTCTTTTTTATTTCTTCTGTTTCCCTCTTGCACAAGGCAGAAGAAGAATTTATTCTGTAGTAAAATTCTAACACTAAATATATTTTTGAATCCCCAGTCTACCTTCATTTGTATATTTTTTTGTTAGAAATTAAAAAAAATATAAAAATACACAAAACCTAAATAACATTCCTATTTTTGCCAATTTAGTTAGGTTTTTGACCATAAATATACATTATATGTAACATGCAGACATGAACAAATTGTATGCAATCAAATCGGAGATGTTATTATATTTTTGTTGATCGTTATTTTAAAAACCAAAATGCTTACTGCTTTGTGATGTCTTCCCATACAGCTTTCTTTTTCTCGTTTGTCACTGAAGCCGACAGTTTTGCAAATAATACATCTTTGTTTTCAATTACACAAGATGTTAGAATTTTCATTTCATCATCAGTCCAGTTTGGCTTACGTTTTTTACTCTCCGAAGACATTTTGATTGTGCAGAGTCAATAGCGAATATTGCAGACGACAATATCGATATTTACATGTTTGTTTGTTACGAAATTCACATTATTTTAAGAAAACGCTATGGAAATCAACATGACATATGAGAGAGAGAGAGAGAGAGAGAGATAGAGAGAGGTTTCTTAAATTCTTTATTTCACTATAAAACACAGTTGCGAATGTATTCCTTTCAACATAATTCAATCTACGATTTATTTTCAATCTAAATATGTTTCAACGCTTTTAAGTTTTTATATAGACCTCAAAACAAATATCGCAATAAATAATAAAGAAAAATATGTGATCTTTTCCATATATCTTTTCAATGAATATCAAACAAATTTCTCTCTCTCTCTTCTCTCTCTCCCCTCTCTCACTATCTCTCTTTCTTTATGATATGTATGCGCATGTGCATAAGCTCGTTGTCAAGGACGTAAGTCTGGCCTTAACTTAGTCCGATACTAGTATTTACGGCCAGGCGTACGCCTCTTAGTGAAACGCAACTTACGCCGGACTAAATTTTGGCGTACGCCCCGAGGCCTAACTTAAGTTTGGTCGTATCTTACGCCTTTTAGTGAAACGGGCCCCAGATCTGTAAAAAGAAACCATTTAGTAAATAGGTAGACAAAATTATTGCTTATAATCCCCTTCCTTTGGCTCAATTTCAAATGAAACTGTCAACAGAATTATAATGCTTTCTTTCATCCTAATATGCAGGCAGGGACAAGATTATCGTATTTATTTTTATATCCTTCCTTTTTGCAGTATAACAATTAATGAAAATAAAATCCAGTTATAGGAGAAATATATACATACCCAGGAATATTACAGTCACGTGATGCTCGAATCATCGGATCGTTGGCAGTTTTCTCTGCAGCTGTGTACAATGGCTGTCAAGGAAAAAATATAAGTGTAACCTCTATACTGTAGGTGATGAAAATCAATTAATTTTAATCTCAGCTTTCGTTTTTCAAATGTATAAAAAACGTCTTTATATGCAGTAAAATAGTCAAACTTCGTTATCTCTATCGATATTGTATAAAACTTAATTCGGAATAGCCTAGCAATGATTTGAATCACAAGGGTTTTAATATAAAGAAAATATGTTTGGGACTGTCGACCCGATTTCGAAATATCTCTGGTATTCGAGATATCAGGGTTCGAAATAACGCAATTCGTGAAAACGGATTTCAACTGTATATAAAGATGCATATACAGATGCATCCTTATAATTTACAAAGAACAGGTCCGTACGTAGGGAGCAATATTATTTCAATTTGAGAAAGAGAAAGAGAGAGAGAGAGAGAGAGAGGGCACAGCCATATATTTCAGTACTGTACGCTTTCCGTGTGTATACTGTGTTTTCTACATAATACTATATATCGGCAAAATTATTTCCTACGACCATGAAGAATATTGAAGGAGATAAATTACATTTAGAAGAAAACATTTCCAATGAATTCAGCATACAAATAACTTTTATACCTTTGCCTTTGCGGTTATTTCCCTTTGGGCTTCATTAGATTTCTGTATCGCCGCCATGTTTCCTTCTGCAACCATTGCACGATTGGCCGGGCATCTGAGTGTGTATTGGACAATTTCTGATCCAATCGTGACTTTAACATGCAGATTCTGAAAGAAAATTATATTCAGTGTGTGCGTCTAATATAATAAATATAATAAGAATTTATAGATATTTGAAAAAAATTATAATATATTTTTCTGATCAAAAGATACCTTTTGTATTTTCACTCTCTTTCTGTCCACCCTGTGTGCATTCTTTTGTGCTTCATCATTCGCGAATCGGAATTGGGCAGTTTTAGTCAACTGTCCATTGTTTGAGCTAAAAGCAAAAGAAAAAAAAATCAACATATACAGTGTATGATATTTTTAAACATGCACTAAACTGTACATGCAATTTACTCTTGAAATGTACGAATATTTGTTGTCTTATATACGGATTAGAAAGACAAAGGAATATATCTAAAGAATGTACCATTTTCAATTATAAATCATTTACCTTGCGGTAGCCTGTCTGGTAGCTAGAATAATCAAATCCCGGACCGTCTCCCGGGCAACTCTGTGGAATATCTGTTGATTCATAATAAATTACAATTATATATAATTCAGTTGAGCTCCTCCGCACTCAAAGATTTCAAAGACTGAAAATATTGCTATTCCTGGTAGGAAAAAATGGTGCTTTCTATGGTAAAGCGATATCTTGTTCTCCAAGGAAAGCACAGTACATTCATCGTCATTTAAACAAAATGTTAAGCTGTATTTAATTAATACTTTTATTTTACCTTCTTTGCTTCTATAGTCTGCTCCTGGTAGAGATCACGTTTTGCAATTATTTTTTCATCAGAAGCTCCGAGTAAAGCGGTGGACATATTTTTCTGTTTTTTGGCAACGCTGAGAGGAAGAAACAAACAAGCTTTAATCTCCAGAACTATGTACGTTAAAAATAGAATTGGTGAATTATTTGTAACAGACGCTAGTAAATCAAAAGTATAAGTATAGTGTCTGTAAAAAAAATTCTTTTACATACCTGTACTCAGTACTACAATGTCTGTAAACCTTGGAAATGACCTCCTCAAGGATGCTGCGCACTATCTACAACCAATTAATTTTGTAAAATATAAGATTACATGTATTAATTGTCACGGAGTATACTAGTATATTGGTATACCGGTATAGATTAAAATAAAATGATATCATATGTAAGCCGGTTACTTAAAAGTTTAGAGTTTAATTAATGGGAGAGTTTCAGGATTTTTCTCACAACTTACCGTCGATGAACTTGCCATTGTTTAATTGTACAACGAACAACAAAAGAGAATATACAACAAAACGGTAACCAAGATTGATGCAAAAGGAATTATGACGACATTTATAGTGTGATGTCATTGGTATTATGACGTCATTCAATTGAAACCTTTAATCTTTCAATATAAGTCAAAATATTGAAACATAAGCTACGCTAAAAATATTAGTAAAAAAGAAAATGCATATCTATCCCTTAATAAAACAAGGAATAATGACTCTCAGAACACACGACAGCATTATGAGTACCATGTTTTTCAATATTTTTTAAGCCTTAGACTAGTTACCCTTCTGTACAGTTAAAAGCTCGAGTTCTTCGTTATCATTACAATGAGATGCGAGTGTATGTCAGTATAAGCACGTCTGAGTAATTACCACTAATAAACATTAAGTATTTGACGAAGATAATTCTTACCTCTTCACCTTTTACTTCGATGTTTACAAACAAATCTAGAGCCTGAAGTTTGGTTGTGCACGAACACACTGAAATCTGATTATGACGAATAGTAGCTTTGTGACGTCAATTAGATTGTGATGTCATCGGCATGTTTACGAGAGAGAGAGAGAGAGAGAGAGAGAGAGAGAGAGAGAGAGAGAGAGAGAGAGTGTGTGTCAGAGAGGGTGTGTGTGTGTGTTGCGGTATCAATTTATATATCACCGAGTTCCCAAACAACGATCCGTCACCACAAGCGGAAACACCCTGCGTTTCTCATCATATATTCCCTATTTCAAAAAGGTGAGTTATTTCCCCTGAAGGGAACTCTTTTACCGTGTTTTATACGCATGCGCTATAAAGAAAGTCACTTCCGCGGACGTTCTTGATGTAAACATGTTCATGAGTAATGCCTTTGTCAAGTGACAAACTGTTATTGTGTAACTTGTGAATAAAAAGAAATCTTATTATTAATTGATTCGTATTTTTTTTAAAATTACTAACTCATAGTTTCTTTCTGGATTTGTATTAATTTGTATAACCGAAACAGATTACTGATAAATTGCTGATACATATTCGAATAGGCCTATTTTTTTTAAAAAACAAAAGCTAAAATTTTATTTTCGGTAGTGGATGTTCTGCAGACGGATCGTCATTATTTACAAAATGTGCAGAACAAATACAATGTATAAGAATTTTTTGTATAGTTATAAAGTTTTTACGAATTAATCTAGCCCACTGCAGCAATAATTTCTTCTCTGCCTCTCTAGGAATTTTTTGGAGACTGATGACATGTCCATCTACATTTTAACCTCTGGAATTGCTGCATATACAGCAGTAGTTCGTCTTCCGCGACCTCTGAGCTGCATTTAATCAAAGTTTTAATGTAGGATCTAAGCAGGGTGGGGGGCACTTTTTTCCAAACATTACTTTTACTATTGAAAGTTTTCTTTGAAAGACAGCCCCCCCCCCAGTTTTTACTGTGGTGAAGTTATATAAGGGAAATGTAGTATTGTATGCCAAGGAATTAAATCAAAGATTTATTGTAGGATCTATGCAGGGGGCCCCCACTTTT